TAGAGCAACGCAGTCGCTCCTATGGCATCCACCGCTGCAGCGTGCTGCCAGCCTGCTGTACAAGGCGCACGCCTTTGTTAACGCTGCCCACCAAATACTTTTGGCATACCTGCTTGTCATATGTCATATTAGATCCAGGCCCACAGCCAAACTTTGCAGCTCAGACCCACTTCTCACTGAACTTGACGTGGGATAAAGAACTGTTGAAAACACGACTGGCATTCCCCGACTTGGCCTCTGTAAGCATTTTTAATTTACAGCTATCCGCTTTTGTGTATGCAGGGCCATTAGCGACGTTGACTGAACTGATCCATTGAACCTGCACGTAAGGTTGTCCAGATCTTTCATTTCTTAATTAACTTCCGTGGTTGACCTCAGCAGGTATCATTTAGTAGTACTCAGCTGAACATTTGCAAGTGCAGCTTGACAGAAGTTTTGAGTTCAAAATTATATTGTATGTTATTTTTTCCCAGGATGCTAAATAAGAACAATTTTGCTTTGTGTTATGCTATAGCCCCGTTGCCTACTGCACTAGATATTATGCAAACACATAGCTAGGGTAATGTAAAACCAAATGTATTACAAAAAAGCTAATGGATACTGGATAGAGAAAAAGGGAATCGTCGTGTGAGTTTTTCAAAGGGGGCTTTTGTCCTTGCTCAGAACAAAACAATATTTTAAGGCTGCAAAATCTTTCGTGAAATAGAAATTCCATTTTTCCATGTGTTCTCCCTGACAGATCCTGGAAACACTTTGATTTTCATTAACTATTTAATATCAGATTCCTGAGGCAGTGCAAAAAAATAAATCAAAGCAGTAACATCGGTAATAGTTTTTTAAAATGTGTTAGTATTCAAACCGTTCTCTTTATGCAGTGGGGTAGCAAACAAAATGAGCTTTGAATGAAGAATTGGTTTTATGAAAATCATTAGTTAAGGGTGCAAAAGGTGCATGGAATGTGGGCTTACTCTGGAAGGCAATAAAAAGCCTTTGCAATTCATTTTGAATTTTTAGTTTAACACGTGCCTGTCACAAGACTATAAAATGTAACATCCTTATATTGCTTTCCCATGTCTTGTACTAAGCACAAAGCATAGCTTTTCCAAAAAGAGACGTTTTATTTTTTCAACAACACCGTTCAATTTTTCCACCAGTCAATACTCGTATGTAGAGCATGGGACAGGGGAGGTCTGGTCCTGATCTCAGACTGGCACGAACCAGGAGTTAATCCGCAGAATCAGTTGTGTGACAACGAGAGAAAATGGTTGTGAGATCAGAATAAAGGCTTCTGTTTCTAGGAAGACTCATTAAGCAGGATATAGTAGCTAGCTAATTTTCCTGGAGAGTCGCTTCAGAGCCTTTCACTTGCTTATTTTAACCATTTTTTAAAAATACACTGGAGCAAAAAAAAAGTTGAAAACAAAATGTTTCTAATTCTAGTTGTTCCAAGCCATATCTTAAGGTTCAGTACAAAACAAACCGTACATAAATAGCGGAAAACAGTCCGCATCTTGTTGCCATGACAATGCCCTACTTATAGCACATTAAGCTGATTCATGTCTTTTCTCACCTCACTGTTAATAAATTATGGTGGCTGATGAGAATTAAGCCAGCTGGAAGAGCTAGTGAACGTAAGCAGCAAATTAATTTGCTGCTTGATTGTGGTGTCCTTTTGGGGAATTACCCTCTACATAGCACCTAATGTAAAAATGTAGGAAAATAGGTAAAATGATAGGAATAGGTTGAAATGGCTAGTCTTTGTTTTCTTTTTGATACTGACGCATCACAGTTTATTGCCATACCAGCAAGAGCTGGCACAATCCTGCTCCTGTTGTAGGCAGTGGCACCAACTTCAGCTGATGGAAGATGGAGCGTTTCATGGCCTCCTCCGCTCCGTCAGCAGAGATGACGGTGAATAATTCTTTAACACTCTGATTCCTGAAATTTGGTTCATGTTTTGTCATTTAAGGTGTAGGACATTTGGCCAACAGCCACTGAAGCACATCACCTCCAATCTAGCATCTTTATGTTAAGCAGCCGTGCCGTGCCTACCTATGCGGAGTTTGCAACAGGGGCCTCATTACTCAGCTCGTGTGTGAGTAGGATTTATACAGGTCACAGTGCAAGGGTTTTAGTGAAGGTGGCCATCGGTAAATGGTGATCAGAATTTAGATTTCTTAACATATACTCACAGCGGAAAAGATTTTCTCATTTTTCTGTAGAGATTCAACAATGGTAGAGCTGAATAAACACTGCATAGCTGATAATAGCAACCTTTTACAGAAACCCGCTGTACTTCATTCAAACCTTTGCCTCCGTCCTCACTTGAAGTCAATAAGCTCTAACAGTTTATATACTGGAGGACTTTCTGAGTCACAAGTACAAGGACCTTGAAAAATAGCAAATGCTTGCTCTTGGGACCTGAAATCTGAGAAACACTAACAGAATTCTACTTATAAATATTCTGTGATCTTAAAGTATTTGCTCAAGTGCAGGAGTTCAGCTGTTTTCCTTAGGGTTTTTTTCCCTCTGCTGACTCTTTGCATTCTTCTTCAATAGTTTCAGTTTTCTCTCAGCTGTAGATAGATCAAATGCAAATTTTCTTTGGCCTTGACCTTCAGCTTAAGTAAACTGATGAAGCATCACCTGAGCAACAGTATCTGAGAAAGCCAAATTAAATAATCACTCAGTATAGCTTGGCCAAGCTAAGCCTTGCTCTTTTTGATCCATAATTTCATCAGTTTCTTTCAACAACATGAAATATCACTGTAGCCTGCCGTCTGCTTAGCCATCAAAATGCTGTTGAAATAGACATCTCCAAGTCTGAGTTTTACCAGAAAAGTCTCCTGCTGGTAGTGGCTTATTCTTCTGAATTCAAGGATGTTTACAGAGTTCCCGACGGTGCTCGTTCTGTTTGGAGATGTCTGCGATAACAGCTTTCTGGTGAAAAATACAGTGATAATGAACAAGCCCTGCACACCCAGACCTAGTAGCGACTCAACAGATTCATGAATTCCCTTGGTCATGAGAGCTGCAATCTCTCATTTTTCTTCTCATTATAGGAAGCGTACCACCTGCCAAACGCCAGCTAGAAGTTACAGCTGCTTTGTTGTTTTCATCAAACATATGACACAAAGAAACAACAGCTTTGCTCTGGGGTTTGAAACCCTTAAGAGCAAATAGCTCTTCAGCAGCTTGAGATTATTCCCTTATGCCGCAGACAGCAATGAGGAACAGAGTCATGTGTCAGTGTCGTGACTCCCTTCTAGCGCTCTGTACAATGCAACAAACTTCCCCATATGCTCCTGAAGCCACTCTTGGAGGTGTTTTCTACATGGCACTGTATCTTAGGCAAGTCCAACTGACCAAAAGCAACCTTCTTGCTGGGTTTGAAATGTTTACGGTGTTTAACCTGCAGTCTTAATAAATTCACTGTGGTTAAACGGCTTTCTCCGAAAACAGACTGCAGGGTTTTCATACAGCTGTCCCAATCTTTGCCTTTTGATGGTCCCACCTATGTAGACTCATCTCCAAATGACAGTTACAGTTCTACTCTTCTGTAAGAGCAACAGTTTGGAAACAAGACAAACATGACGTGTCTTCACCTATCTGGCGGGTATAGTAAGTGTGACTCCGTTCGTCTTGGCATAAATGCTTCTCATTATCAGTGATAATGCATATGCTCGGGGTGCACATCATTTCCAACCCCCCCCCCAACTATGCGCAGAAGCAGGTTCTCCTCTGCCTTATATGTACTTCCATGTACATGCAAATTGGGACTTGATTAAAGGTTGCTTAATGTAAATTTTTTTCATCCCTAGGTTTTTGAATGCACTGTCTAAGAGGCTTTTGGAGAAGATCTACTGGATCGTGCCAGATTTCTGAAGAGATGATTCCAAAAAAGCTTATTTTTCATTATCGTATAGTAGTTCTGCTTTCTTTCGGGTAGGACTACCAGCAGTCTCCTGCAGCACAGCTGGAGACCTGGAACGTACTGAACGCACTGAACTGAATGTGCACGGAGCTGATGGCTCCATGGGGGTAGATCCCAATAGGGCATCAATAGGTTTGGCCTCTTAGTGACTAGACACTCCTACCCATCCTTTCACAGCAGGAAAATGGTCTCAATAATTACATTTAGCGATTAGTGATTCAAATTTAGTGATTCAAAAGTGCATTTATAGGCCTTACGCAGACACTTCTTAGCCATGAGGCAGACACATGCACACATTGGGAACCTTGCTTTATTCTGTATACATTGCTAAACTACATCTTGTTCAACTGCTGTAATGCTCCTGTGCCCATGGCTTCTAAAGCAGCGTTAGCATTTCTTTCCTTTCATTCTGCACCCGCAGATTGGATTCTGCTTTTTCGGTGAAGAGGATGAACTGGTCCAAAATGCCTTTTTTCTATCTTTAGCAGGGGAGTCCTGGACAAGGCCTGGGAACAGCTAAGAGACCTTGGTTAATAGAGCAAGAAATATTAGCAACTCTAATCCCGCAAAGGCAAAATTCCTCGACTTATTGTAATTCTAAGGCATAGCACAAAATTTCATACTGAGGATTTTTACCTAAGTTGAATTTTTTGCCAATTATATGTGAATATTGCAAGAACATTGCGTTGAGATATGCTTAAGAGTTTCTGAAAACTGCAAGAACCCGTGTGAAGTTCACTTCCAGACTTTCAAACATGGTTTTGCAGTATGCATTCAGGAACCTGTGAATTATCTGTATCTTAATTTTTACTCATTCCCTCTCCTTTTTTTGCCGTATGATATCTGCATTAATTATCTGAGAAGGAATCACACATGGAACCAATACCCACATCGCATATAAAAGAAATGAGCATCAGCCCTTTTCCCTTTCTGCCATCATCCTTTGTATCCTCCCAGAGTATCAGCTGCTGTGTGTTGGCTTAAAATCTCTCTCCTTCAGGGCAGCTGAGCAGCTTTGCATCAGCTGACTGACTGACCCTCTTGCACAGCTTGGTGTGCATAGAGGCTTGGGGATTTTGAGGGCTGGTGCTAAAGAAAGGTAACAAGCCATTTCCATGCCTTCTTTTGATTTGTTTTCCCCACCCAAAGGTGTAGGTGAAGAGGACTACAGCTGCTGTTTTGGTTACTTCTTCTTGGATTGCTTCTACAGCAGGTACTGTGCAACTGCAGTGAAAGAGGATGCGGCTGCAAATGGCAATGTAGCTTCTGCTGGAGCCTTGCTATGGTGGGGTTGGCAAAGGTAGTGGCATAGAGGACTTTGTAATGCAAATGGACTGTGTCTCTGCACAGATGTTTCCTCCCCTGGGTGCTGGGGGAGGCGGGGGAGGGGGGGGAAAGAAACTTAGTTTAGGAGGGAGCACAGACTCTGAAACCAGCTACTACCTGTTAGACGGTTTGAATGAAGAAATGTCCCATTTATGCCTCTCTGAGGTTTGGCAGACTTTTTTCCTGTCCTCCTGTGAAGTCCTGTCCATGTGTGTCCCTGTAAGAGGGAGTCGTTGAGCCAAGAGTCCTTATAGATCATCTACAATGTTCTCTGTTCCAGTAAATAGTAGGTGGAAGTCATGAAAGGTAAAGCAAAAAATCAATGCGTTCAGCTGAATGACACTTACTACTGTGGTCTCTTAACTTGCTGATAGCTCATTTAAAAAGCAATTTAAATCTAAAGGCACATTTTTTGTTATCTTGTTTGTTCTGGCTCATATATGTGATAATGATTCCCACCCTCAGCCACATTTTATAAATTGCTATTTTAAATAAAAGTGAAACAGTTCTATACGTTAAGGTTTTTCGGCTTCTATGTTTTGGCTTATCATCGCTTTTTCCAATACTGCAATATACAGTGATATATCAGCTTAGGGCCTGACTTGTCGTGTAGTTTCCTTAAAGGAGACAACACAAAAGAATCCACAAAACGATAAGCCTAAACACAACAGTGAATTGTTCATTTGGGACTTTGTAGACAGATGACCGGCAACATCCTCGGCTACTAACACAGCTTAAGATCACCTCGGAGTGCTTGTGTTGTCATATAGGGCTCACGAAAAAACAGTTGCCAGTCAGCTTCTCACATGCAGAAGTGGCTGAGTTCAAAAGTCCCAGAACTGCAGTGTTTTCTTAACCTGATACGAGCAGTGGTGTTCTCTGAACATGCCACCATTATGCGCTAGTGCCAGGATATGAATAACAATCATAATCCCTATTTTAAAAAATATTAATGCTTATGATGACCTCTTATTTCCCCAGATACAGTATTTTGAGGTTTTCAGCAGCTATTTTTCAGATGCAAACAGTCTGGGCAGGCTGGTTACTTCAGCATTTAGAACAAACAGTCTAAACATGGCCTTAATTTTTTATTGTTCGCCCTGTGTGTTAGAGATAGATGTTGCAGATGAGCAACTGATATCCCAGGCACCGTATCAACAAGTATCTGATCTTGATTTCCAAGAAATCAGTGGATGTTTTGCCTTCAGTGGTGAGAGGCAAGCCCAAATCTCCCATTTTCCCATGCTTTCACTTGGGGGTCTGGGGGGGGGCGGGGGGGAGAATGTCTAGGTTTTGTGTGTTGAGGAGAACCTCTTGACAGTGCAACTTGCAATCTATTGGCAAATTTCTTAGACTTTGCTCTCATTTACAGTCACGTGCTATATTTTTGGCAGTTACAGAAATGACTTACTTTGTAGGAACTACACTAGGCAAGCGTGTAATGTTTGCCTGTCTAAATACTAGAAAAAGTGCTATCAGATGACTGAGCATCCTTGAGGACTACAAGTGACCTCAGAGTTCAAGAATTTCAAACCTGTGGTACTTAGCAATAGTTTTGCCTGGAGATTGTATTGCGGTCTTTTTTTTTTTCCATCCTTCCAGATCTTTACACTAGAGGTAGTTGCATCAAGATAGAGGGTCTGGACTGTCTCCAAAGTTGTGCTGACAGACCTATGGCTTCACTTTTTTTTGGAGTCCTCCTCCCTCCTCCCCCCATTTGGGGAGAAAGCCATTGCTAGAGTAACTGTAATTAAAATAAAGTCTAACGCTTTGCCTCTGGACTGCTCTTGTGGTCGTCAACTGGTATGCAACTTAAACGGGGCCCCGAAAAATCCGTGGCACCAAACCCAGGCACTGCAAACCACTGGTAGCTAATATTTTGAAGTCAGTTCTCCATGGTGTCCCGCTTGTCATCTTTGGCAATAAAAACGTATTTAAGGCTGAGACTTTGGATCTCTTTCCGTAATCTGAAGCAGTGGCAGGATACCGTCGTTCGCTTGCTTCTGTTGCGAAATCCGCACAGCGGCAGGCAGCTGCGAATGACGGACTGTTTGCCGGTTGTGCTGCCGTTGTTCTCGTCAGCAATGTTAACTCTTAACGTAGACGAGCGTATTTTCTTAAAGTACGCGCCTGCCCGTATCTTACTGCTGTGATGTGAACCTCTATCTCTGTATACGGTACCTACTGGGAGGAATGATCCTGGCTGTGCCTCAGCTGCTTTCATTAGGAAAGTCAGGATGTTGTCTGTCTCCTGGCAGACAGGGTTGGCTAACGGTTGCCATCTGCTCAGCGTTACGCGTGAAACTTCAACAGAAGCTCACGCAGTTGAAAGGACACGCTGGCTGCTGGCCAGCCACCGAGCCTTTGCGGGGGCTTTTGCTCAGATACAGACCCAAGGTGTGTGCTGCAGTCCTCCCGTCTTAAAGGTAGATGGGTAGCAGCAGGGATTGCTGTTACTTTGAACACCGCCGTTTATGGCTGCGGTCTGGGGAAAGAGGATCAGCCGTGTTAACTCGGGCGTCCTTTCCCTGCAGTACTATCAAGTTGCTACTCAGAAACTCGAGGAAAAAGAGTCTCGCTTAGAATATTATTTAATTTTTTGCCACCGTTTACTAACATAAACGCCATCACAGGTGGTACCCCGAGGTTCCAGCTTCCCTTGGGTTTTGTGACCGGGTTACCAGGGTGGGCGCGAGTGATCAGCACGTGCCGGCCGGCAGCGAGCGAAGCCCTGCGGTGGAAGCTCTTCGCAACCTTGGGGGTCTTCGGGCGCGTTGGAAGCGAGCCGTCTCGCTTCCCTTGCCAGTCCGCTAGTAGTTATCGCGGTCCGGGGGGATTGCGGGCTTTTTGGAAGCAATCTCATTCTGTAAGGTGCAACAGGGTCGTGGGGACCTTTATGAATTGCTGTTTGTTTTATCCTGGGGCACAAGAGGAACGAAAAGAACCGCTTCCAATAACCACATCAATTTGTCTGCGCATACTGGAACAGCTTGATATGCTGGGCACAACTTAAACATGGCTTAATTCAGTCTGCAGCTCAATTAGTGCTCTGTGTTTTTTTTTTTTCCTGATACTAGAAAATCTGAGCAGGTTCTTTTCTTTCCCTGTGGCAATGCATCTTTTGATGTCCTAAGCCATCCGGAAATCATCTAATAAATCCAAATGCAGAAAATCACAGCTTGAGACTTATGTGCTTGAAATCTTACGGCTTCTGTAGAGCCACTTAGGATTTATGAAAATCTGTTAATGGTCAATACATATTCCTTTAATTATAAGATCGGGAGTCTATGCTATGCGACAGTTTTCTAGGTTTCCCTGGTCAGTTCTCTCAGAGATGGTCCAAATAAATGATTTTTTTGTTGTTGCTTAATTACTATTTTTATTTTTCTTTGGCCTGGCGGCTGTTAAGTTTTCTATGTATTTGCTCCCACTTGGACTGCTATTTTGCGCCTCTCGTTTCCTCGTATGTCTTCACACTTTCCATCATATTCTTTGAGCCCTTTACGGAGGGCTTTGTCCTGCAGGCTTTCCCCCGGCAGCTGCCAGCCTCTGCTAAGGTGCCGCCGCTCCTGCCGGTGCCCTCGCCTCCGGGGTGACGCAGGACCTCCGTCCGCTGCCTGGGAGGGCAGAACTGCTCCTAGCTTAAAAATCATATATATTGTCTACCTGGCTCCATTTTTCCTTCCCCCCGTCAACTTGGTTTTGATGGAGGCTTGGTTGTGAAGAAAGTTAAGGGATTCAGCCCTGCAACGTGGTACTTGGCTTTTTAACTTCTTTTATTTATCTTTTTCCTCCCCTGCTATGCTTTGGATCTTGTGCCTGTGCAGAACTGGCAAAGCAAGTGTTAAAAATTTTGCCCGGTCCCCATAGGACCCCATAGGTCCCCATAAAATCTTGAGACTGGCTCAGAAATCACGAGGCTGTTTTTAAAAGATTAGGGCTCTTTTTTGTTTTGTTCCTGGATTTTTTTCATAAGGCCTTTGCATACATTTGAGTCACGTTTTCAGGCTTTATTCTGCAACCGTGGGGGCTAAAAAGTTATCTTTTTAGAACAAAACTGGAATTTGCGGTCCTCGCCTTTTACTTGCGAAAAACTGCAGTAAAATTGGGAGAGGCATTAGCTCTTCTGGTCTTCTAAAAGTAGTTTCTTACAGTGGACCCCCCTCCCTGCGCTGAGGTGGTTCTCGATTCCTACAAACCAATCTTTATTTTAGTCTGTTGCTTTTGAAAAGCCAGCACATGTGTGCAACCTCTGATCAGTGTGAACTTAATGAGGAGCTGTTAATAAATAGTTCCATATTGACCAAGAAATGAGTTTGTTGCATCTATGCTTCGCCTCCCTTCCCCAAGGCTACGTGATCTCTCCCAAACCCTCGCCGCATGCAGCTGATCCAAATGCTGTGTAATCCTTTTGATGCAGTTTGCTTCATTTTGAATCGGCAAAGCATTCTGTGTGCTTTTAACCTACATGTTACACCCCACACCTGTAGGGGGGCTGCTAATCTAATTTTGCTTCACAGTGGTGGTAGCAAGCAGGTCACTCATGGAGTTAATGTCAGCTGCTCCGCTAATTACCGTAGGAAAGCCATCCCATCGCTCCCAGTGAAAATGTCCCACTCCAGCATGTGAAGTGCTTTCAGTGCGCTAATTCTGTTAATGCTGCATTTTTTTGCTTCGTTTGATCTATGCAGTCCATATCCCAAAGTGGGGTAGTAAATCCTCAACCAGTTCCAGAGCTGGAAAAATGTGTAGACGAAAATATTACTCACTACGTTTTGGGGGACTGTTTTCTGTTGTGTTTGGTTTGTTTGTTTAAGTTTATTTAGACTGATCTTTCTTGGTACCTTCTAGCTTATAGTGGCCTTAGTCCTCCGCTCTGCCTTCAGG